GTATATATATATATAAGTATCATCAGGGAAGACAGAGAAATATCTCTTTTCTTTTTTTTAGAGGTTTTTGCCTTAGGACATGTGCACTCACTGGGGAAAGAGATACAGAGACAGCAAGAGGGAAAGGAAGAAATCACCCTCCAGGGATGGCCACACCACAATCCTCTCTTCCATTCTCCTCCCAGGATTTTGGGCATGCACTCATGTGCCTGGCACGATTCTCAATCCACCAAGTCCAGGACTCAAACCACAGTTGGCCAAGTGGGAGTCCAGTGGCGTAACCACTAAGCCATCTGCTGGCCCCCAAAGCAATGTCTCTTAACCATCCAAAAACGTCTTTCATGTGTAAATGTGTACAATTTTAACATGATGCCATTTCACCTATTAGGTTGGCAAAAACGCTTGTTCTATAACTCAGGCTGTTGGCAAAGTTGTGGTGAAACTAGTGCTAACATACTCACCCTAGCTCCTCCTGTTAATACTTAGACCTGCCATTCTCGTTCCTACCTCAGGACCTTTGCATTTGCTGCTCCCTCTGCTTTGAACACTCTCTGCTGAATTATCATGGGGCTTGCTCCTTCTGGCCAGCTTTGAACCCAGCTTCTAGTCCCCTTCCTGGTGAGGCCTCCCTGACTGCCTCCTAACTCACCACCTCCTCACATCACTCATATCTCTCAGTTTCTTCAGAGTGTTCATCTTTATCAGAAACACTTTCTTTCTTTTCCTCTCTCCTACTAGATCAGGGGTCAGCTAACTTTTTGTGAAATGGGCCTAAGTAAAAGAGCTTGGGCTTTGCAGGCCATATAGTGTCTGTTGCAATTCCTCAGCTCTGCTTGAAAGAGTCATAAACAATCTATAAAAGAACAAGCATGACTGTGTTCCAGTAAAACTTGATCTAAAGTCAGTGAAATTCGAATTTCATATAAGTTCCAAGTGTCACAGAACATTCTTTTGATTTTGTTCAATCATTTAAAAACATGAAAACCATCATTATTAGCTCAAGGGCCACACACATGGATGGCAAACTGAACTTGGCCTATGGGCAGTAGTTTGCCCATTCTTGTGCTAGAACACCAACTCCAGAGCATTATTGTCTGTTCGATTGACTGCTATATCCCCTGCACCTAGACCAGAGCCTGGCACCATGTAAGCTCTGAAAAGATGTTCAGTGGGTGAGTGAGTAGAATGGTAAGTTGAAGAGAAAGTCACTGAACAAGTGCGGAAGTCAATGAACACATGAGAGTGGGCACAGTCCTACTCTTGGGGCTTTGGTTTACCCTTTCCTAGACTTAGGCAGGCTCCCCCAAGAAGTCTTGAGAAAATATCAGAAAGGGGAGCTAGGTAGTGCTACAGCAGTAATAAAACTGGACCTATATGGGAAAAGTCCTGAGTTCATGTCCAGGGACCTCCCTGAGCACACTGGGCACATGCCTGTCATCTGGGCCAGCTGAGACAGACAGTGGATTGTGGTGTGAAGACTCTTTTGGGGAGTATCTGTCTCTCTGTCTCAGTCTCTCTCTTTCATGGAAGAAGTAAATAAATAAAAGTTTATAAAATAAGTCACTTAAAAGATCAGAAAGCTGAGGCCAGAGTTATAATTCAGCATCTTTATTCTTCCCCTTTAGCCTGAGGGTAATCCTGACAGACAATTTCCACCAGGAGGAGGCAAAGAGGACTGGGCTCGGCCAGGGCTCCCCAGGGACCTGGCCTCCTACTGCTTCCATGGAGGTAGGGTTGGGATCACAGCTATGATCCAAGTTAAGCATCCCTGAGGAAGAGGGAAGTGGACCACTCTGCAGCCTCTGTTGTCTCCCACCTCTGACAACCACATTAATGGAACCAGCCACCTCCACATGCCAGGCAGGAGGTACCCAAGAGAATGGCTCCAATCCTCTCCACATGAATGCACATGCACACGTGCACATGCGCATGGGGACCCGGGCAGGGCAGGACACGGTCAGTGTCCAAACACATGGCTCTGGCCTGTGACCCAGTTGGCAAACATAAAGCCTAGACTGATGGCCATGAAGAGGACCCCCAGGATGCCAAAACACAGGGCCTGCAGGTGAGAGGGAGAGAAGGTGGGGCGGGTGATGATGTTCTCAAGCCTTTCAGCCCCTCCAAAGAGTGCCTCATCCATTTCTCACCCTCCTTGTGTACCCTCTCCTTCCTTAAAGCCAGCCCCTCCCTGGAGTCCTCATTCTACCTGCCCAGAACCCTTCAAGGAGTATTCTCCTCCATCTTCCTTCTTGACAATACTCCTAGCTCTCTTCTGAACAGAGCTCGTTCCATCTGTCTGGAGAATGCTCCCTCTATGCCAGCACCTTCTGAATGCTCTCAGTCTTTCCAGACCCTGTCGACGCTTTCTGTTCTGCCTCTTCCTAAGACAATTGTCTTCATTCTTCCAGACCACCAGCCCCTCCCTGAATGCTCCCTCTTCCCCCGAGTCCCCTCCTAGGATGTGCCTTCCATCTCTAGCCATCCCAGAGCGTGCCCCTCCTTGGAATGCTTCCTTTCCCCAGCTGTCCCCTAGAATACTCACCCGGATCTTGGGCCAGGAAAAGAAGGGCTCCACCTCAGAGGGTACAATGCGGAGGTAGAAGACACTGGGAAGGATGAAGATGAGGCTGGCGACTGAGGTCAACCCTAGAGACAGAAAGGAGGGACAGAAGTCAACCTAAGTTTGAGAACAAAGTCCCCAGTAAGTGGGGTATGGGACTGAGGTTGGGAATACTGACCAATAACCCCAAAGATGTCCCAGATGGTTGGAACACAGATGACAAGGACATTGCCCAAAACAAGCAGGGAGAAACAGCTGCTGCAGGGCCCAGCAGATCTATGTGACCAGAGAGGGAAGGGCAGGGATCAAGACCTAAGTGCTGCCCCCCTGCCACATGATCATCTGTCTTTAACCCCACCCCCTGTGAGATCCTGGATTTCTCCTCCCTCTGACTATCTATGGTTCCACCCTGTCTTACCATCCAACTTCTGAATCAGTTTCCTGACTCACTCTCTGACAATCCATGTCTCTTCCTTTTGGCTGATCATCTGGCTGTGCCTCCACCTACTATCTGAAATCCACACATCCTCCTGTCTGACCATCTCCACTTTCCCTTCTGTCTGACTGTCTGAGATCCTGCTTCTCTCTCTGAATGACTTCCTCTGCCTCCCTCCTCCATCTGATCATTCTCACCTCCCCACCTGAGAGCCTTGTCCCTCCTCACGCACCCCACCACTTCTGCCTCCAGTCTTTTTCTGTTTTTGTTTTGTTTTGTTTTGTTTTGAGAGGTTTTTGCTATGGGGCGCATGCGTTCACCAGACAGAGGGAGACAGAGAGACAGAAAGTGAGAAATCACCCCTCAGGGGGGATGGCCACACCGCAATCCCTTCTCCTCCATTCTCTTCTTGGGATCTTGGGCATGCACGCACACGCGCCTGGAGTGAGTTTTAAGCCTCCAGGTCGGGGACGCGAACCGCGGTCGACTACATGGGAGTCCAGCGACATAGCCATTACGCTAACTGCTGGTCCCCCTCCAGCCATTTTCTATCCATCATGTTTCTTCATTTTGACTGACCACCTATCTATGCTTCTCCCCTTTGAGTCACCATTCCTGCCTCCCTCTTCTGTCTAGCCACCCATCTGTGCCTCCTCTCTCCAACTGACTACCCCGTCCCCCAGCCCTCTCTGTTTTGCCATGTATTATACCCACTTCTTTCTTTTATAATTTTTATACTTTATTATTGTTTGTTTGGTTTTTTTGTATACATTAATTCACTGCATATCATTACAGTACAAAAAATGAGATTTTCCATCCAGAATGCACTGTTTATTGGCTCAATCGAAGATATGCCCACTTCTTTCTGATCATCTATTTTTGCCTTCTCCGCCAATCTGACAACTCTGCCTTCCCTTTTTGGTCCATCCCCACCTCTTCCATTCAGCCTTCTACTCCAGTTGCCACCCCTCATTCAAACATCTGTATCTCTGTCCTCTACCCATGCATCCTTGTCCTTCCACCCCCTGGGCCCACCCCTGACCCCATGCACAGGGAACAGCACAAGTGGTACAGTGAGGGTCATGGCAAGCAGCATGGCCAGGCGCACGCAGAGGATGAGCACATCCTCCTTGCTGTACATGAGCAGCATCTCTGTCTCCATGCTGCCTGGAGACACCGGATGGAGGATATGGTAAGAGTACCAGGACCAGTGCCCCAGAAACCCACACACACCTACATAGGGACAAAATCTACATACATGGTAAGTAACTTCCCTTTGGAAAAGACAGGTCCAAAGCCATGGAGGGAAAGAACTCAAGAAGCCCTTGCCTCAGCCCTCCGCCCTGTTGCCACCCCAGCTCCCCCCAGCCGGGTCCCAGCCGCACTCACTATAGAAAGTGAGCTATCCAAAGGTTGCTGTGAGCCCATACCTGCAGAACATGGCCCCAATGGACACGTTGGCCACAGCCTGCATCCTGTGCTGGGAGGGCCTGAGGTATAGAAGTCACGGAGCTGTCATTCCCATATCCCTGGATTTGGCCCAGCCCCTCAAAACCAGCCCCCATCCTCCAGAGTCCTCATCCTCCCAGACTGACATTCAGCTGGTACATCCTGGGGTGCCCATCTCTGCCTCCTCTGTGTGACAAGCCAAGTTTCCCTTCTCTGCACATCTGTATTTCACCTCATACAAGCATCTCTGTCTCACATCTCTGATCATCTGCACTGTTCCTCTATGTCTGATCACTCACACATCCCCCATCATACCATCCCTGCCTCCCACTGTCAATTCATCTGACTATCCCTGTCTCCTCAGACCCAGTCATGCACACCACCCCCTCCACTGACCATCTGATCTCTGCCTCCCAACCCTGTCCGTTCACACGTGTACTGAGTATTAAAATAGAATATTTAGAGCCCAGCAGGTGGTGTGGTGGTTAAAGGTGCTGGATTCCCACATGGCTGACTGTGGTTTGAGTCCTGGACCTGATGGCTTGCTTTCTTGCTTTCCCTTTCATCTCTCTCTCTCTCTCTCTCTCTGTGTCTCTCTCTGATCTAATAAATAATAATAATAATAACAAATATAATTAAATAAATAAATACATTTTTTTGTCTCACATCTCTTTTTTTTGGAGAGCTTTTTTGTT